GGGGGGGTTGGGGTTGGAGTATAGCGGGGGTGTAGGGGAGATATAGGGGGGTATAGGGGTGATATAGGGGGTATTCGGGGGTGTAATGAGGGTGTTGGGGGTGGTTTGGGGGTGTTGGGGGGGGGGGTTTATGGGGTTATTGGGGGCCGCTATGGGGGTGTTGGTGGTGTTACTAGGGGTTCTGGACCCCAAAATATATATATTTTTATTTTTATTTATTTATTTATTTTTTGTGGGGTGCCGCTGACCCCTGACCGGTAGGTGCCGACCAGCCGATCGGTCGGCGACCGGTCAAAGGCCGCCGACTGTCGGGGGGAGCAACCCTGCCTGCCAGTATGTAACTCCACCCTGGCAGTATTTAATTCCGCTTTCACAGTAGCAAAATTCCGTCCTCAAAGCTCAGGGTATCACTAGAGAGGTGAGACCCTCTTACGGGCAATGGTACAGACACCCACCCCTTGTGGACACAGCCACCCAAAACCCAGGTATGATTTCCTACCCCGTTGCTGATCTAGTGACTGAGCAGTCAGGGCTTGGATCTGTCCATGACGCTGCACCGAATTGAACCGGCGATTGCTGGCATAACAGGACTGATGTCTTCTTTGCATGCACAGTGCACACACACCAAATCACGGTATGATTTCGTAGCCAGTACCTTCGCTACCGTCTTCCCCTGAATAGAACCTACGGTCATTATAGCCACATTTGGTGCAACTTTCAGTCTAGGAATGCCCATAATGACCGCACGTTCTATTCAGGGGAAGACAGTGGTGACTCAGCGGTCAAGCTTTGGATCTGCTCACGATGCTGCACAGAATCGAACCGCCGTTTGCTGGTGTAACAGATGGAAGAATGCTTCACTGCAGTGTAACAGATGGATGTATGTTTCACTGCAGTGCAGCCACCGAATCCAGATATAATTTCCTAGCCAGTCACTGCCAATTGACTGAGCAGTTATGCCTTGGATCTGCCCAGGACGGTGCACAGAATTGAACTGGCATTTGCTAGCGTAACAGACCGATGTCTTCTTCACTCCAATGAGGACACCTAGTCCATGTATAATCTCCTAGCTGGTTACTACACTAGTGACTGAGAAGTCAGGCCTTGGGGGGGTTTGTGTGTGTGGTCTGATGGACCATGTATCAGATATTAATTTATTAAACTCATAAGAACAGAATCAACAGATACTACACTTTATCTATTTTTTACCAAAAGGCCGAGAAACAATCCCTTTTTCCGAAGGAAAAGAAATTTCAGTCCAACTGTCAAAGTCAGAATCAGTTGTTGATCTTAGTTGTAGGACATTGGTTGCGGTGGTAAGCACTTAGTGTCATCATCTGCTCCTAGCAGCCGATCTCATTTCTCTCTGTGCTAGGGAGGAAAAAACGGAAAGGAAGGATAAAGCAACAAGGAAAATGGGAGAAGATGGAGTTAGATCGAAGAAGATGATTAGGGGTCGGGGAGAGAGAGAGAGAGAGAGAGAGAGA